TGTGAGAGAGTATCTGATGGTTTGAGTAATGTTTTCTTGATTTGTGTTTGAAGCTAGGTTTTAGAGAATGAGAGCACTTGGAAGCTTATCATTATGTGTTTTTTAGGCCTTTTGGAGAGGGAATGATGTAGAAGAAATTTGACTAGCCAATTTCATGGAAAATGCTTTTACAAACACAATTACATACATAAAACTAATATAGAATGGTGTGACGGTAATATTTTTATAATTTGAGATATGTAATGTGTGCTTTGATTTGAAATGAAAGAACTATGTGAAGCTATAAAATCACGCTAGAAATTTTTTGTATAAAGATTATATTTGTATATTATTACTCAATCTTCATAAATTCATAATCTCATTTCATTATGAATGAAATTTGAGTGGTCTATCTTCACAACAAAAAAATTATTAGGTAGTGGATAAGAGTGTGGAGCTTCTAACATCTTCTAACATTCCAAACCAATTTGTTGTTGGGTATGAGATAGATGTTTGGATGAGGCAGAGGATAAGTAGGGTATGTCTAGAGAGATGGTCCACTTGCTTGTTGGAAGGCAATAAGGATATATACATAGTCATAGCTGTCTATCTAGAATCATCATGATGCTAACAAATCATATTCTGACCAATGCACTTCTTACATGAAAAATGTTTGGGGGCCCTAATTCTGTGACTCAAATGTGGCTCAAATGGCTAAAACGACGTCGTTTTGGCCATTTTGATGTTGTTTTGTACTCAAAACGACGTCGTTTTGGCCATTTGAGCCACAGAATTTGGGCCCTCTACCATTGCTCCTTCTTACATACATCATCCACAACTCAAGATGATGAATCCGATTTTGTCCACCCACTTAAAAAATATAAGTGCATGAATAAAATATTAATTTTTATTGGTCTAAAATAGTATAGCTTTTCATTTTTGGGTGGAATCAATACATTTTGAAAAATTACAAGATAGTGAAAAGTTAAAAAATTATTTACCAAAAAGCGAGAGTGCAGCTTTTACTGTAGTTTCTTTGCACATAAAAAAAATACACGTTCAATGTATTTGTAATTATTTTTAACCTTCTATGTTGATCTACGTATTATTCACAAAGTCACTGAATAAATTAATTTTCTATGTAAAGATACATGAGTTTTTTTTATATTATTCATAGTTAAAAGCGCACAAACTTGTTCAGACACTTGATTATTCAAAATTTTAATTACACCAATGTATCTGGAGATGTTTGGTTGGGAGTGTGCATTAGGGATAGGGGCAGATAATTTGAGAATAAAGAATTATGGCCACATGAGACGAAATAAGGAGGGTTGCCCATGTTTCCTCAAATTGTTTTAGGTCTTGTTTGTATAATTTATATAAATATTTCTACAATGGATAGGATGCCTCTCTAATTTTTTAAAGTTCTTATTTTGACTTTTCATGAGCATTCTACAATATATATATGGTATGACCTTTAATTTTTCACATATTACTTAGGCTCTGTTTGGCAAGAGCTAAACGGGACTTTTTTGGCTATTTTAGCCACAAAAGACAAAATAGGTTATTTTAGCCACAAAAAACAAAATATCACATCTAACTCATAATCATTACATTCTTCTCTCAAAAAAAAGTCAAAAAAGCCAAAAAGTCAAAAAAGCCAAAAAGTCCTTCCCAAACCAAACTTTTTAGCCCAGGCTAAAATAGCTAAAAAAGCCAAAAAACCAACCCACTTTCCAAACGGAGGCTTAATAATATCAATTCTATTAATTTGATAATAAATGTCATTTATTGTTAGTTTATTATAAAAAATCATAAATGTAGAATTTGTTAGATTTTGTCCCCAGCTTTTTAGTCTATAGATTCTACAAGTTTAACAATAACAACTGAAAAAAATTTGTTAGATTAAGAACACTATTTTTTTTTTCAACAATGATTCATCTCCCCTTTTCCTCCACCCCCTTTGACCCCCTCTCTCTCTCTCATTGGTTACATTTTCTTTTCTTTTTCTTTTTTTTCCTGCTCCTCCAATCACCACCCGCCACGTGGCAAAGGGGGGTGAGGGGGTGACCCCCAAAAGGGGGTCCCAAGCATTATTCTTTTTTTTTTAATACAAAATTACTGTCAAAGACAATTTCCAATGACCCCATTAATGTTATTAAAATTGATGTTTCGATGAAGGAGGTCAATGTAATTTAGTTAATATTATAGAAATAACTGTAATTTATTCATTTTTTTATCTTATTTTATAGAAGACTGTAAGTTATTCATTACTCCTAGAAATTTAGCAAAATTTATTCTATATATAATTATGAATATAGCATGACATCCTTTCATAAGAACATTATAGTATGACATCCTTTCATTGAGCATTCTATCTGTAAGGGACGTATGTCATTAAATCCAATGATTGTTTTGTTATGGTTATAAGAACATAATTAATGAAATTATTTAATAAGAATGATAAATTATTATTTTTAAAAATAATTTTTTTTTTGGAAGTTTTTTTGATAAATTCATTTTCTAAGAGCTTTATTCCATTCAACCCATATTCTTTTTGACTATTCCATTAGGTCCAATTTGAGATAAGAAGACCAAAATACCTTTTTCATCTACTTATGTTCTATTTAGTTCACATTATTTTCTTATGTTTCATTAAGTCCTATAGGTGACATAATTACCAAAATACCCTTAATGTGAATGTTCACACCGTCAATATAAATGTTTATATCGTCAATGTGTAGGGGCCCGGCTCATTTTGATCCTCCTGGGTGCCCGAAAAAATTCGAGTCGGGCCGGGCCGGCCCACAAGCCAAAAAAATAGGCCCGACTTGGCCCGTTGATAATATGAATATTCACATTGACAAGTTAACATTCACATTGATAGGAGTGTAAAATTGGCCTGCGGCCCGTGGGCGGCCCGAAACCAGCCCGTCGTCGGGGGCTGGCCCGGGCCGGCACGTTCACATTATGAATATTCACATTGACATATTAACATTAACATTAACATTAACATTGACAAGAGTGTAATATTGGCCCATGACCCGTGGGTAGCCCGAAGCTCAGGCTCGGGCCCGGGTTGGGACGGGCCCGGCCCGGCCCGTTGACAATGTGAATATTCACATTGACATGTTAACATTCACATTGATAGGAGTGTAAAATTAGCCCGCGCCCCGTGGGCGGCCCGAAGCCCGCCCGCTACCCAGGGCGGGCCCGGCCCGGCTCGTTGACAATGTGAATATTCACATTGACATGTTAACATTCACATTGATAAGAGTATAAAATTAGCCCGCGCCCCGTGGCTGCCCGAAACTAGCCCACGGCCATGGGCCACGAGCGGGTTTCGCGCCGCCACGGGACGGGGGCCAATTTTACACTCCTATTAATGTGAATTTTAACATGTCAATGTGAATATTCACATTGTCAACGGGCCAGACCGGGCCGCCCATGGGCCACGAGCGGGTTTCGCGCCGCCACGGGACGGGGGCCAATTTTACACTCCTATTAATGTGAATTTTAACATGTCAATGTGAATATTCACATTGTCAACGGGCCAGACCGGGCCGCCCATGGGCCACGAGCGGGTTTCGCGCCGCCACGGGACGGGGGCCAATTTTACACTCCTATTAATGTGAATTTTAACATGTCAATGTGAATATTCACATTGTCAACGGGCCAGACCGGGCCGCCCATGGGCCACGAGCGGGTTTCGCGCCGCCACGGGACGGGGGCCAATTTTACACTCCTATTAATGTGAATTTTAACATGTCAATGTGAATATTCACATTGTCAACGGGCCAGACCGGGCCGCCCATGGGCCACGAGCGGGTTTCGCGCCGCCACGGGACGGGGGCCAATTTTACACTCCTATTAATGTGAATGTTAACATGTCAATGTGAATACTCACATTGTCAACGGGCCGGGCCGGGCCGGGCCGAATCGGGCCCGCCCTGGGCTGCTGTCTAGTTTTATACTCTTGTCAATGTGAATGTTAACATGTCAATGTGAATACTCACATTGTCAACGGGCCGGGCCGGGCCGGGCCGAATCGGGCCCGCCCTGGGCTGCTGTCTAGTTTTATACTCTTGTCAATGTGAATGTTAACATGTCAATGTGAATACTCACATTGTCAACGGGCCGGGCCGGGCCGGGCCGAATCGGGCCCGCCCTGGGCTGCTGTCTAGTTTTATACTCTTGTCAATGTGAATGTTAACATGTCAATGTGAATACTCACATTGTCAACGGGCCGGGCCGGGCCGGGCCGAATCGGGCCCGCCCTGGGCTGCTGTCTAGTTTTATACTCTTGTCAATGTGAATGTTAACATGTCAATGTGAATACTCACATTGTCAACGGGCCGGGCCGGGCCGGGCCGAATCGGGCCCGCCCTGGGCTGCTGTCTAGTTTTATACTCTTGTCAATGTGAATGTTAACATGTCAATGTGAATACTCACATTGTCAACGGGCCGGGCCGGGCCGGGCCGAATCGGGCCCGCCCTGGGCTGCTGTCTAGTTTTATACTCTTGTCAATGTGAATGTTAACATGTCAATGTGAATACTCACATTGTCAACGGGCCGGGCCGGGCCGGGCCGAATCGGGCCCGCCCTGGGCTGCTGTCTAGTTTTATACTCTTGTCAATGTGAATGTTAACATGTCAATGTGAATACTCACATTGTCAACGGGCCGGGCCGGGCCGGGCCGAATCGGGCCCGCCCTGGGCTGCTGTCTAGTTTTATACTCTTGTCAATGTGAATGTTAACATGTCAATGTGAATACTCACATTGTCAACGGGCCGGGCCGGGCCGGGCCGAATCGGGCCCGCCCTGGGCTGCTGTCTAGTTTTATACTCTTGTCAATGTGAATGTTAACATGTCAATGTGAATACTCACATTGTCAACGGGCCGGGCCGGGCCGGGCCGAATCGGGCCCGCCCTGGGCTGCTGTCTAGTTTTATACTCTTGTCAATGTGAATGTTAACATGTCAATGTGAATACTCACATTGTCAACGGGCCGGGCCGGGCC